CCGCCTGGTGCGCCGTCACACGCTCCCCGCCCTCTCGCCCCCTCGCCACTCGCCGCCGGGCGCCCTCCCCTCCGCCGCCCCGGCCCAGCATGGCTGCCATGGCGGCCCGCGGCCCCGGCCCGGCGGCCCCGGCCCCCGGATTGGCCGTGCGCCTGGCCCTGCTGCTGGCGGGCCTGGGATCGATGCTGCTCTTGCTGCCGCACTGGGCCTCGGCCGCCACCGCCGACGACCCGGACGCCGACATGCCCCAGTTCCTGGCCTTGGATATGCCCATCAGCTCGGGAACCAACTCCAACAGTGGCTTCGGGCGCCTGTTCTCCAACGACCCCCTGGTGCACTACACCCTGCACAATACCCAGTGCCACTTCTACTCGCAGGCCACCCATCAAAGCGTCTTCCCGGAGGCGCGTCTGGGCGGCTTCTTCCTCCGGCCCGCCGCCCGGACCATCTCCTTTACCGACATCCCGACGGAGTCCCGTGCGTCCATGTTGGCCGTGGCCGCTCCCCGGGCCGACCCGCTGATCGCCTGGCAGGATGCCCAAACGGTGGCCCTCTCCACCGGGTCCACCAGCTACCAGTACACCTTCGACCCCGGCGCGGTGCCGGCCCTGCTGGCTGCCTTTGCCACCGGGCCCCTGGTGGCCCAGCTCCTGGTCCAGTACGGTCCCGGCACCACCACCATCCTCAAGTTCAATGCCGGCGCCTGGACACGCACCGACGCGGCCATCAGCGCCACCTCCGGCACCTCCGGCCTGGCCGGGCACTTCTTCGTGGCCACCGCCACCGGGTGGGTGTGGCTGCAGGATGGCCGGCCCGCGCGGACCATCACCCTCGACGAGCCGGTCATCCAGCTGGCCGCCACCCGGTACCTGGTCACCGACCCGGCTCGCGTGGACTTGGTGGTTGTCACGGCCACCCGGCTGGTGATCTACATCGGCCTCGGCAATGACAATGCCTGGCAGCAGGTCATCACCGACCCGCTGCCGGCCTCCCGGAACAGCCTCTCCCTGTCCATGGTCCCCCGGGTGCCTCTCATCAGCCAGCCCACCGGCTTCCTGTACCTTGCCCAGGCGAACACCGCCATCTGGCGAGCCAACCACCACCCCTCGCGGCCCCTGTGGCAGCGGGGCAGGGCTCCCTTCTCCTTGGCTCCCGCCGGGGCCAGGCCCATGCCCATCCTGATGGATGGCGTGCCAGGCCACCACCCGGAGCAGTGGGCCCTGTTCGACTCGTCGCGAGCCTACCAGCTCGACAGCCAGTTCGGCTGCTCCGGAGGCGATCCCTCGCTCGTGTGCCACCCGGACAGCGCCAAGTGGGCCTGCGCCCCGGGGCGCATCTACTCGCCGCTGGCCTCGCCGGCGGAGCTGTGCGCCGGCTGCGCCGATGGCTACTATCAGGTGCCCGTGACCCCATGGCAATGTACGTCCGGGGGCCGGGGTCCTCCTCGGCCGGGGGCCGGCGCCCCCGTGTGGTCCGCTCGGGCTGGTGCTCCCTTCGCCCGTGCCCCCCCCCCCCCCCCCCCCCCCCCCCCCCCCCCCCCCCCCCCCCCCCCCCCCCCCCCCCCCCCCCCCCCCCCCCCCCCCCCCACCCCCCCCCCCCCCCCCCCCCACCCCCCCCCCCCCCCCCCCCCCCCCTCCTCCCGCGCCCTTCTCTGACTGCTGCCTGACGCGCCATCCGCACATCGCACGCTCGCTGTGGGCCTCGCCCGGCTCGCCCTCATGACATGGTCACCCCCCTCCCCCCAGACCAGTGCCTACCCTGTCCCGGGGCCAATTGCATTGCCTGCATGGCCGGCGTGTGCACCGCCTGCGCGCGGAACTTCCTGCTGCAGCCGTCCACCGGCCCCGGCCAGCTGGCCTTCACCTGCGTGGCCCAATGCGCCCCCGGCTTCCAGCCCAGTGGCGAAGTCTGCCTGCCGGCTACCATGCCCCCGCTGGCGACTGCCTTCACGCCCATGCCCCCGATGGCCGATGGCCGGACCATCCTCTCGCTGACCCGGACTCGGGCCTACCCGAAGGCCGGCCGACTGTATGTGTCCAATGCGTCGCTGGCGGCCCCCGAGCCCGGGGCCATGCTGGTCCTCCTGAGCGACTTCTCCTTCGGCATCCTGGACATGGCCCAGCTGGCGGCCAACCCGCCGGCCACCACCCTGCCCGTCATCCCGGTCACCCTCATCGGCGATTCGATCAGATACTCCGGCATGCTCTTCGAGCTCGGGCCGGTCATGCTCCCTGGCCGGGTGGCGCGCCTGTTGCTGATGAATATGTCCGACACAATGGCCAACTACCTGAGCCTGAGCTGCACCCTGCCCGGAGCCGCGCCGGCCGACGAATGCATGCTCACCGCGCCGGAACTGTCCCGCGTGCCGACCCACACCAACTTCTATCCCCCGCGGCAGCTGTCGCCGACCATCATCCAGGCGGACAACACCTACTTCGAGCTCCGCCCCGATGGCACCCTCCTGTCGGTCAGGGACTATGATACCGCCTTCTGGGACCACTCGACCATGCTGACTCACATGGATCTGGCCACTGGCCAGCCGGCTGTGTGGATCTACCGCGTGGCAAGCGGCACTCTCATTGCCCAGCCCTGGGATTTGGTCAGCCGGGCCGACAGTCGCATCCGGGCCAGTGACACCTCCCTGGCCCAGCCCAACAACCCGATGTCGGTGGCGGCGCAGTCTCCGGCCGGGGGGCTCGCCCTGCCGCACGGTGTGGCCGCTACCACCACCACCACCACCACCACCACCACCACCACCACCACCAGCAGCGGCGGTGGCGGCTATGTCAAACTCATGCCCAGCAGCAGCTGGAAGCCTCTGATGCTGGAGGTCGGGGCCACCCGGCGCCCGGCACACCTGGCCTCCGGCGACGTCCTGCTGACCAGCATGATCATTCACAACAGCATCCCCTACTGGGCCGTGGTAGCCTATGGCTCGGGGACGGATGCCCAGCGCCGGACACGGTCCATCGCCGGGACGACGCACCTACTGACCCCTCTGGACCACCTGCTAAACTTCGAGGCCAGTAGCAAGTTCCATGCGGTTGCCATGCGCCTGCAGGGCCTGCCCGAATACCCCAGTGCCCTGGTTGTCCTGCATCCCAGGTTCCTGGGGATCATGCTGCTGCACTGCCCACTGGGGGAGCTGGCTTGCCGGCCCGGGCCGCGGCAAACCTTCGCCTATCCGGCCGCCGCGGAGCCCGTTTCGTACGACACCCTGGACGTGGCCCAGCTGGTCGGGCCAGCTTCCCTGCCCTCCGGCCAGCCGTCGGCCGTCAGCTTCTTCCTGACCACGCGCTTGTCCTCGGCCAAGGGGTTCCTGGTGCAGGTGGGCCTGGCCGAGTGCCCGGCCGGCACGTACGGCCCCCAGTGCCAGCCATGCCATGCTGCCTGCCAGACGTGCACCGGGCCGGCCGCCAGCCACTGCCTGGTGGCCAAGTGTGCGGCCTACCTGCCGGCCGAGCCGGGCGTCTGCCTGGCCGCCTGCCCGGCCGGGCTGGTCCCCAACGCGCAGGGGGCCTGCCTTTGCCATGGCAGCTGTGTGTCCTGCGCCAGTCCGGAGCCCGGGGCCCCCTTCGTGTGCACCGCCTGCGCCATGGGCATGGCCGTGGCCCCGGCCGGTGGCCCGCAGGCCGGCCAGTGTCTGGCCTGTCACACCTCGTGTCGGACCTGCTCGGCCCCGAGCAATGGCCATGCCTGCACCTCCTGCCCGGACAATGGGGCCTTCCTGCGGCCGGATGGCACATGCGCCGCCGGCACCTGCCCGGCCGGGAGCTGGAACAACCCGGCATCGCGCACGTGCGCCAGCTGCCCGGTCGGCTGCTCGGCCTGCCCGGCGGCTCCCCGGTGCTCGGCCTGCCAGCCGGGCTTCCTGCACGAGGCCATCATGCAAACGTGCCTCCCCTGCGCCCCGGAGTGCACCACCTGCGCCGGGAGCACCGACACGTGCCATGGCTGCCGGCCGGGGTACCGGTGGGCGGCCGGGGCCCCGCCCACCGGCACCCCGGCCGTCGCCCGGTGTGTCGCCTGCCCCGCCTCGTGTGTCTCCTGCCGCGACGATGGCTGGTGCCTGGTCTGCGAGCCGGGGCGACTGATGACCCCGACCGGGACCTGTGTCAGCGTCTGCCCGGCCGGCACGGCTGTCAATGCCGGGAAAACCGCCTGCGAGCCGTGCCACCCCCGGTGCAGCAGATGCTCCACCCCCGGCGCGGTGGAGGCCTGTCTCACCTGCGCCCCGGAGCTCCACCAAATGGCCACCGACGACGGCATCACCTGCCTGGACGTGTGCCCGGTGGGCTACTGGTCGGCTGCCGGGGTGTGCACCCCCTGCAAGGAGGCCTGCCATGCGTGCTCCGCGGAGCTGGCCTGCGACGAGTGCCAGCCGCGGCACTTCCCCCTCGACGACGGGTCCTGTGCCCTGTGCGATGCTTCCTGCGCGTCGTGCGACGATGCCTCATCCTGCACCGCCTGCCAGCCCGGGTGGCTCTTCCTCAGCACCGACCCGCTGGTGGAGTCCCTCTGTGCGCCTGCCTGCCCGGCCGGGCAGTACGCCGACACGGCCGCCGGCCGGTGCACCGGCTGCCACGCGTCGTGCGACACCTGTGGCCACGCCACCGCCTGTGCCACCTGCCGGCAGGGCCACTACTTCACCAGCACCGACCCGCTGGTGGAGTCCCTCTGTGCGTCTGCCTGCCCGGCTGGCCAATTCGCCGACACGGCTGCCGGCCGGTGCG